ACCCCCCCCCCCACCCCCGCGAGATTTTATTCCTAACTACATTTCTTGCCGACGCAGGCGAAGAACGAACTCGTGTTACATTTGCTGTGATGGACGATGTCAAAGAAACGAAAGCAATAGATCCATAACGGGGACCTTTCATGTTGCCACTGTTATACGTATTCGCCGACAACAGGAATAAACAACGCTAGAACAACAGATAAACAAAAGAAGACGTGATGGGCGTCCTTAGATCCAAGTCTCTTCTCTGAGCGTCGAGATTAAAGTCTGCCGGGAGACGCCGCCGGCAAACCTCTCCTGAAACCCGAGTCTCCCCGCAGATAGCACCAGAGTAAACGTCACAGACACAAACGTTTATAATGATACTATTATAAAAGAGACCGGTCTACATTAATTTTGATATTATATAACGCGAAGGCATTCTTCCGTGGTGTGTGTTTTGTATAACCTGTTGGTTACACTTTTCGTGTGGTTGAAGTGCAACTTGTTGATTCTTAACGGTGAGTCACAACCGTGAGTGTTGCCAACATAATCAGCTTACAGTGCGATGTCGTAAAACCAGACACATTTTATCCGTCAGTGAAAGTGGTGTTTGTCCACACAGAATTCAGAGCAATATTCAGCCTCAAAATTTCAGAAACAAATGATTTGTTGATTTATAGCTCATTTTTTAAATTTAATATTGCTCCTTTATACGATACAACGAAAGCAATATATATCTCTGCTAGTGAAGAAACAGTAGTCAAATAAGTAGAGATTTTGTGTGCACTGAAAATTCTTATAAGAAAGAAACCTTTATATCAGAAGTGACTTAAGTGCTGGTTAGTTGATGTCATAGACCCCCATATATTACTGGAAAAAGGTGCTACAATTTAATAATAAAATTCTCTCTCCCTCAAATAAAGGACGTTCAGACGCTGAGTTCAATATCTAACAAATAATTTTTTTTCCATTCTCGGAGATTGCTTTCATTTGACAATTCACCGACAGCCGTCAGTCAGTATGCCACGGTGTTATATGGTGAAGAAGGCGTGCAACAAGTATCAGACGTCGGCGAGGGACTGCTGGAGTTTCGCCGCAGACACACACGATGAAGACCGCGGAGAGGCGCCTGCAGGCCCTGTTAGCCCAACAGAAGGGTGCGTGGCGCCACTCAGCCCCAGCGCCTACTACAGACCACTAACAGGCACCACGACCCAACACAGTAAGTACAGCGGCATGAAGAACTCCGTCGGTCAGTTAGTGATCGGTTTTACCCCCTGAAATCCGTACCGCTTAGAAAACACTACCCTTCACCGTTACAAAGAACTGATTAACGCTGTTTTAATTAACCCTTTGATGAGAAAGTGGGAAGGGTAGCGATTGGCACTACTGTTCTAAAAGGAGGAGAGAATAAATTTTTGATTTCCGGCTACGAAGGTCCCCAGGCAGTGTCCGCTCGTCCTTCCGGTAGAATTGGTTTAGTAAGGGCAAGGCAGTTGGAAGTGGGGAAATGTCGGATAAGGAGCGATACATGGGGAGAATTTGATCAGGGTCTCTGCATTCGTGCACAAAATATTTAAGTATTCAGTCCGTACCGCGAAGAAAACACAACTCTTCACCATTACAGAGATCAACTGGTTAACTGTTCACGTTTAAAATAATAAGAACCACAAATACAAAAACAGCTTTACTAGTCGATTAAGCTGGTGGTATATATACTTACCACTGAGATTTAAAGGGTTATTGATGGAGCGTACTGCTGTATAAAATTAGTTACCATTATTTTATATCCATACCTCATTAAGTTACTGGCCTCAAAGTGAGATTTGAGGTTATCAAGGCCATGATTATAATGCTGTTCTCCTAGTTTTCGGAGGCGTGTAGACTCATCGGTAAACGTTTCGGAGAGACATACTGTCTCCATCTTCAGGATTGAAGATCAAGACAGTGTGTTTGTCCGAAACGATCGCATTTGAGGACATGTCCACACAGCTCCATACCCAGGAAAAAAACACCATTACCGATCTCACGTTTGAGTAATGGTAAAATATGACTGACAATCTAGGCTGCTGTTATTAAGACAGTGTTGTAAACATTACAAGAGAAACGTCATCTTCTGAAGACTGGCCACCCGAGAATATTTCAATGCATTTCTCTTGTGTTTCGAGCCAGAGCGTAATCAACACGCGACCGCTAGGTAAATGGTACAAGCTCCTTTTAACTGCATCTCTGCATAAAAATCCTGTGTTCCCGGCATTTTAGCTTCAAACAATTTCGCACTGAGTCACAGGAAAACGTCCTACACGAAGTAACATCACTGTTATTTCTTATCTAAATTTTAAACCTTCGCCATTAACCTTTTAATCTCGTTATATGCTTCCCCTAAACCTTACTGTCCTTCTATCTGACAGCTTCCCCCCCTAAATAAGCTTCGTTCGCTTAGGGAAGGGGTGGAGGGTTGAAAGAATGACGTCACACACTTCCATAATTTACATTTCAACCATCAGGACGGGTAGTATCGACCAGCATTCACTGTAAGACTGGGGCTATATTGAATGACCTTGAGACTGATTTACGCTTACATTAACCAGTCAATCTGTCAGTGGCATATTTAATGACACTTCGAATGGCTCAGACTATATTATAGTATCATTCCTACACCACTGTGGCATTAAAAATGTGAGTGATACGATGATTATTAAATTGGAAAGCATATATAAGGAAGCCGGAATAGCTTGATTTAAAGTAACATCCGGGCATATCCCTGGAGGGACTGTGGAAAATTGGCAAACACCTGTTACGCCATTATTACACAGCTTCTCGAGCATTAACGGCTGAGAGCGGTTTGTTTATAAACTTCCATCGGTCGCCAGAGGCACAGCTAGTGTGGACACAGTGTAGGTTAGTCGGACGCCGGTGACCAGTAACCAGTTATCAAGCGTTTAAACTACCTGTAATTCATTTTCAGATTAAAACGACGATCGCGTGACTCCTGTTCATTCTTGTATACTCAAGTCACATTTGTGTAACGTAGGATCAGGTCAACTAAATTACTAGTGCTTGTTGCTATGGAAATTAACAAAACAGTTTTCAAGCAAATGTTTTAACATGATACAATAAAAATAGCACTCACTCGTTTTAATACGCGTAGTCTTGAAATTAACTGAATTAGATTAAAGCAATTTATTACCAGATATAGATACATACATATAAATGTAGAATATAATGTACGTATTTCCGTCGCTTAGCACAACGGTTTACAGCAAATAAATTAAATACTATTTAAAATTACCTACCTGTTTATTTCCCTAAAATTCATTAACTAAAATTATGTGTATCTAGGAACCGTATAATGTATCGATAATTCGTAAATGTAACAAACTGTCTTTAAGGATTCGTTTATTTGTTTATGTGAAATTTCATGACGACTAGAAGAAACAGATCAGATATATATACATGGGTACATTTAAATATATAAAACCCATATACCCATAACTAACTCCATGGAGCTTAGTCTGTCTTGAGAAATTTATAATCATATTATTAAAATATATGGTGATGAAAAAGACTTGAATGTAGTGAGACATAAGGATTTAGAGTTATTATTTATATAATTATTCATTATTTTACAGAATATTAATGTTGCAGTTATGTTAACAATTTATCTACTAGACTGAAATACAGTTGTAGTTAATCTAAATTCGTGAAGTGATATGTATTCATTCCCATTGTTTGTTTTTTGTGGTATTAAAATTTTCGTTTGGTTGCACTAACCTGCACTGTCCCGTTTAATTATTCGTTCCCATGGCAATTCATTTGTATATTTGCGAGTTGCATTCGTGTAGCTTTGTGGCGGCATTGGATTTTTCTTTTTTTGACTGAATATAATGGAACTCTTTTCCCAAATTTCACTGTACTTAAAAACGTTTATGATAAACAAGACAGGAAATTGTGTTACTGGATCAATAACAGCTAAAATCTGCTGGAAATTTGTGATTGCACACGAAAATGGGAAATATTCTCGTTGCATGTTTGCCAGTATTACTAAGGGATAAAAATTATCAGGGTCTCCATTGAATCGCGTGGTTCAAGTGTTCCTATACTCCGCTATAAATTCTCATTTTATTTTTTGTATAAAACCGCAAAGTTATAAAGAACCTTTACACTGTTCATGACCGTGATTGTATAACCACTGTGCTAAAGTTAATGTTAAATAAAGAAACTTATCTTTAATTTTGTTTTCACTACTGTTCGCAAGTCAGAGATTCTGTCATCGCAGCTTAGCAAAAAAACCTTGGCCGATTCGGTCAGCTTCCTGCTAACAGCTTTGACTCGCATTTCCAAATTCTGTGTATCTTTTCCGAACATTCTGAAACAGGCTTCTTGCCGAGTTTTTTTAAAATTCACATTTCGAGACTTAGGCATCGCAAGAGTGTGAAATTTGGTCTCACACATAAAGGCAATAACACAAATTGAATGTTCTTTTGGAAACAAGGTGCTGAGAATAATTTATATACCTAAAAGTTGTAAACTAATTAGACTTTTCTGAAAATGTCGTAATGTAAGAAGCTTCACAATGTATGCTCTTCTAAAAATATTATTACGATAAACAAATTAAGGAAGATTAAGTTTCTGGGGGCATGTAGAACGCACCGGGGATATGAGAGGTGCAAGATTTTGTTTGGACAGCCTGAAGGAAAGAGACCGGTTAGAAATGCAGGTGTGTATTCTGTCTGGCATTATAAACCAGTGTGGGTCTTGGCCACCTCTTATGCAGGTAACTTAATCTATTTACACATTTGATAGAACTCCTTGGATTAGTGATCAGCCCACGCAAGGCCTCTACCTGTACACAGGACAGGACAACACAGAAAGACGCGGACAAACATCCATGGCTTGAGTGGGATTCGAACCCACGGTCCCAGTGTCCGTGACATCAAGGCCCAGGCCTCAGACCGAGCGGCCACTGTGACCCGCATTCTAGGTGCATATTTGAGGATAATATTAAAATGGACTTTAGGGACATATAAGTGAGAGGATGTGGAAAGGATATTGCCGGCTCAGTATAGTGACCTGTCTCGATAATTCACCTTCGACTTTCATAAAACGAAGAACATTTCTTGTTTACTGGGCGACTACAGGGTTACGACAGAATCAGTTGTCCAAACGCGTAAAGTTAATTCAGGCAACACACGAAAAGAATTTAAATGTTTCCGGAAAAAAATAGTCATTAACGGACGTGACTTAAGTTCCGCTGTAAACTATTTTTAAGTATCAAGCATAAAGTTAGTGTTGAACATCACAAAACACGAAATACAATTTTGCACATTAACAAAATATATTTCCTTGTGATCAGTGGATTAAGGCAGGCATAAACATGTTAAAAGATGTTCCAGTAAGTAATTTACGCCTATAATGGACAGCCTTAACTCATCGTTAATGACACGAAGAACAAAGAATTGAAACTAAAATCTATCTGAACTTTGTATCGCTTTTTGTTGAATGTAAACGAAATTTACATTTTATTTTTGCATACACATTAATTACGCAGAAAACTGGCACTTCCATTAAAAGAAATCCTAGCTCTAACTACAATTCATGTATCAGTAAGGAGGATTAAATGGTCCCGTTCTGCTTTCAGACTCCGTGGTATGTCGTTAGCTTTAATAAGGTGTCATATATTCCAATGTACGTACAAAAAAAAAAGGCTGAGTCTAGTCAGCGAGACTAATATTAGGCCTCTGTATCCAAGCACACATTCTGAAAACATAGCTTAGTAGTATCTATGAAACTGCGATATAACTTAGTTTGTGTAACCTGACAACAAAGTTCAACAAGAAAAATAGAAGCCGTTAGGTAAAGCAATCTCTTTAAAAAAAATATGTTAAGGTAAGAATGGTACATATAAGTTATGATAAATATGCTATATAAATGCAGGCTTAAGTAGGGGGTTTATATATTTTTATATGTATTAGTTTTATATAATATTGGTATCTCAACTTCCATTTACATCGAAACAGAAAATCTCCTGCATGCTTTGCATCGCCGAGAACTTGAAGTGAGACCTGTTAAAGCCGGAGCAGAGATATCGCAATATCAGAAACGTATTTTGTCTGCGATCAATAACATCTGAAGCGAACTGCTGTAACAGCGACGGTTCAACCGTCTTCATGAAACTCACCGCTCCAATAATCTCTGACAGCGACGGTAATTCTGGCCAAA